TAGGCGAGAACTTGTAAAGGAGGATTTGTGTTTAATAATTAATATAGAATATAAATATAGATTAATATAGAATATAGATTACCAATTAAAATTAGTTTTATTTTTAATATTATATTTGAACAATAATATTACCAATTATTATTATTATTATTATTATTATTATTATTATTATTATTATTATTATTATTATTATTATTATTATTATTATTATTACTATGGAGTAATTATGGCGATCCCATAATTACGCCAAAAAATAAATACACTTTTGACCTATACAATGAGGAATTGAGCATGGACTTCATAACTGTCAAAACCGGCACCATGAGAATAAAACAACTTAACAAATCAGAACTTTAGAAGTCCGATTACTTCAATAATCAACGCAAAGAACTAAGAATAATATTATAATTGTCAATTGATGTATTAAAGGCGATTACTGCTATATCTTGTCGTGTATATTACAATAGAAACACTTAACCACTTCCCATTCTCCAATCATCCATGAGTCACACATTTTATTGTGTGGCACTTTAAATTCTTGACTAATGACAGTATAGCAAAAAAATGAAGAGAGAGATTAGAGGAGTCAGCACTCAGCATCCCTTTAAACGGGCAGGAGTAGGCACCACTCAAAGCGAGATTCACATGAGGTTGCCTTTCATAAATAATAATGAAACTTCAATAGAAGCAAAAAATCAATATATGAAATGGATCGGACTTGGAGTAACCGTAGAAATATTCAGAATAAATCATAATCTAGGCATATGATATGAATACTTTTTGCTGAAAAAAGTATTAAATTTGGACAACACAACCATGAAAAACATATTGTATCTAATCCAATCAAACTACTTGGATGTTAAACCTACCGTTAATTTCGAAACGCGACTGAACTGAATGATCAAGGCTGAAGACCTAGTGGGAAAAAAGGGATGCAATATAAAATGAAGACTTATAATTTTTGTAGTCATCAACTCATTGTATTTATAGGTGAAAAATATGAGAATTATAAATTTGTAAAAATTTCAAAAAGAAAGTGTATTTATTTATTTAAGATATTGCCCTAATCAATTCATTATATTGATATTCCTAATCAATTCATTATATTAATATTCCTAATTAATCTTATTCCTAATTAATTCATAATATTGATATTACTAAATTTCCATTTTTAATTTTCTTACCAAGTAAGCTTTATTAAGTATTTGACCAATAAAATATTTTATATATTTAATTAATTTGACTACAAAAGTTTGGGCGGGAAATGAAATAGGAGGATTTTACTTATATATATATATATATATATATATATATATATATATATATATATATATAGATTTCTATCTGAATTTGACCCAATCAACCCAAATATTTCATCCCAAACCCACACAAGGTACTTGGATATTTATTTATTTCTTTGGAGCCCCAATCAACCAAGTCTCTCTCTTGTTGACCTAGGGTTTAGAGTTTATAAAAGCCACATCATTCCATTTGTCTTCCCCCACTTCTCTCCCTTCATTTCCATCGCCAAAGTCTAGAAGCAAAACTAGGAAACTCAACATTTGTAGTAAGAGTCTTCCTATCTTTTCTTCTTCTTCCCATATCCTAGAGCCATGCATATGTTTATATATGTATTGTTGTTTGTGGGGTCTTGGAGTCTTAGATGGTGAAGAAGGAGACCAAGCTTGAGGTTATAGAGGAGAAATTCTTGCTTGTTGAGGCTATGCTTTGAGGTATAACCCATGGATGCCTAAATCTACTATTTTTGCTCTAAGTTATGTGAAATAGATGTTTGTGTGTGTGTGTGTGTGTGTGTGTGTGTGTGTGTGTGTGTGTGTGTGTGTGTATTGGGTATTTAAAATGATGAAATGTATATTACTTGATGCTTAAAATGATGTATATTGATGATGTGAAGCTATGTGATTTTGTGGCATTCATGGCGTATCTGTGTGGATTATCGAGGGACGGCTCTGCCTCGTCCGTCGGTGTGAATGGTCGGACCGCGTCGCAGGACTAGTCGGTCCTGTTGGCTAGTCTTGTGAGAAGGAGTGGCAGGAGTGGCGAACTCCTTGAGTCTTGCCACTCCATGTCGTATCATCACAAGACCGGGTGACAGGACTGCCCCGTCCTGTCGCACAGTCCTGTGAGGCTACGGGACATTGTACAGGGCCCTTGTTGGTAGGGATGGCAATGGGGCGGGGTAGGGACAAGGACTATACTCCCCGTCCTCGTCCCCGAAACCCCGACCCCATCCCCGTCCATGTCCCCATCCCCATGTCCGATGGGGAATTGAAAATAGTCCCTATCTCCGTCTCCGCGCGGAATTTGGCGGGGACGGGGATTCCCATCCCCGATCAACTTTTAATCAAAAATCTTAAATTAGTGTAATTTTTAATTTTAGAAACTAAAAACTTAAAGTATTAATTTTTAAAGATTAATATATATATATATATATATATATATATATATATATATATATATATATATATATATATATATATATATATATATATATATATAAAACTTATTTATTTATTTATTTTAATTATAATTATTATTCGGGGACGGGACGGGGTATCCCCTCCGGGAAATTTCAAAAATTCCCCGTCCCCGTCCTCGATCCCCAAAATTTTTCCCCGTCCCCGTCCCCGTCCCCATCCCCTACGGGGGCGGGGATCCCCGACGGGGAGGCGGCACATTGCCATCCTTACTTGTTGGCTCTGTTAATGTGGTTCCACTCCGGTTCGGGACACGTGGGCCCGTGTGACTCGTGAGGCTTGGGATTTTGATGACGATTATGTGAAATTGCCTAAGTGTTACATGAATGAAAATCTATTTTTAACCCAAGCATGAACTATGATTCTACTAAGTGTGACTTTGGGATATATTCATTATGAATACTAAGTATGTGATAATTTTGGTGTTGTATCATAAAATAATGAAAGATTTGCCTAAGTACACCATCTATATATTACTTAAATTGTATTAGACTGTGAGATAGTATGATTTCATGGAAGCATATGTTTGAGTTATTGCTCCTCTATCATCTATACCCAAACCTACGTTTTATATACTTGAAACTAAGAATCTATTTTTGAAAGGCCTATATTCATGCCTCAAAACTCTTTTAAAATCTATATACATATAGTTATATTTACTTACATAGCCTCTTTGAAAAACATAAATGATATTGTGAACCCCATTTTAGAAAAGAAAGGTTTTCAAACATTATGTCACCTGTTAGGAACACTTGTATTAGGATTTTGATGATACCAATGTAACCTAGAATGTAGACCCCTAACCTTTGTTATTTTTAATCGCCGCTTTCGTCCTAGACGAGAGTTGCCATAACTCACATGTAATTCGTGTTAAGCTAGTCAAACACACGAAGACGAGTTATGCTTAGATGTTAGGGTTATCAAGACGAAAGAAGACACGAAGCATGAAGCATCTACAACGAAAGATTACCATGAGTTGTCATCTACCTCGAAAAGGCAGTCTTATTTATGATAATTCTTCAAGACATTCTTCCTCTTCAATAGCAAGAAGAATGTTTCCACTGTCTGACTTGACAACATCCTAGGAACAAAAGGACCTCAACATGTGGGACACGCTTACCAAGGAACATTAAATGAAGCTGTACTACCCCCTGAAGCTAAAAGACAAAACCCTAAAGCTATCCATGCCATCAACGGCTACAAGGTACAAACCTCATTAATGGAGCATTTAATGCGGCAAGCTCCCCGATCCTTACCCACTGGATAATAGGTTTGAAAATTCATCTCCCTCCAACGGATGAAATTTTCCTCACCTATAAAAACCCACCTTCATCAACTAAGAAGGTGCTGGTTCTTTTCTCTCGATCTAACTTTCAAGCAAAAACTCTTAAACATTCTCAGTCCTCATCAAGCTTTTGCGAACCAGTGTTAAGATGTGAAGATACTTGAAGAAGTTCATTGATCCTAATCTTAAACCTTGAAGAAGTCTTGTAACGTGTTCGAAGCAACTATCTCTCATCAGTCAAGACTTCACCACGTTGGAGAAATCAGCAATCATTTTCTACCAACCTTAACTCTGAAGAAGACGTTGATAGAGGCGGAGTAAACTCGTGGAGTTGAAAAACCTACGGAAGCTGTCCGACTTAGTGATCAAGGAAGCTTTCGTGTATTTGTACTAACGAGTGATAGTGCAAACCTTCCATAAGTTGTGGAAGAAGAGTGGAGTATGCAAAGTTGGCCGAACAACTATAAAAACTCTCGTCTCCTTGTCTCTTTACTTTTGCTATCTACTTTCTGCATCATATCATCTTTCGCGCCCAAACCGAAAGTTTCCTTAATAACGACAAACCGTGCAAAGTAATTAAAACGAATTTAACATTTCCGCTGCGCTATAACTCCGAAAGGTTGTTATTTAGCAAAATCCGAAAGGAGTCTATTCACCCCCCCTCTAGACTCTCGTTATAACGCTACCGGGACCAACAAGTGGTATAAGAGCAAATACCTTGATCGGTAAAGGCTTTGCATTTACCGCCTGGTAGATCCCTTATAAAAAATCCCTGAAAATTAGCATATTTTCTGCTTTGCACACATTTTTCTTGCAAAAATGGAAAAGGATCATGCTAACCGCTCTAAGCAGCTTGCTTTTAGCCTATCTAAATTCGATGGCTGGAAGGTTAGAATGCAGTCCCTTCTTTGCTCAATACATGACGAAATGTGGGATGTAATAACCACTGGGCCGATCACAGTCATGATGGTGAACACACAAGCTGCAGCTCAAGGAGCCAGCGCAGAGCAGATGATACCTAAACCAAAGACATAACTCACCACAGAAGAAAGAACAAGGGCGAACTTGGACAACGTAGCACGAAACATTCTCTACAACTCTCTTGATGATTCCTTGTTCCCCAGAGTTCGAAAATGCGAAAATGCCATGGAAATATGGAATGTTCTAATGAACCTGGGTGAAGGTGATGAACAGGAGAAGGACAACAAGCTGACAGTGGCTATGAAGAAGTTTGAAGACTTCAAGATGCTGCCAAATGAGACTGTCATGGACATGGAACTGAGGTTCACCAGACTTATGGGCGATTTGACAGATCTCGGGAAGGAACTGACAGAGAAGGAAAAGAATCTGAAGATACTTCGTGGTCTGCCGAAGTCTTGGGAAATGAAAGTCATCGCAATGAGAGACAACCGAGACATGAAGACTACAAGCACAGCCAAAATCTTCAATGACCTCAAGGCTTACGAGTTTGAACATGAACCGAAGGATGCAGAAGAATCTGAAACGAGAAATGTAGCTCTCGTGGCCAACAAGCAAGCATCAACTTCTGACAGGTCAAAATCTAATTCTTGTGAATTTTTATTTGATGAACAATATGCCTTGTTTGTTAGGAAAATGAAAAGGTTTATGAGAAAGAATAACTTCCAAGACTCCCACCGTTCGGCCCACCGAAGGCAACACGAAAGTTCGCCTCAAACCTCAAAGCCAGAAACTTCAGACTCGCAATTGCTGTGCTACAACTGTCGAAAACCAGGACATTTCAAGGCAAACTGTCCTCACCCAATTGTGAGTAAACATCAAGACAGCAACGCTACCAAAAGCTCATCCAAAGAAGCCGGAGACAGTTACAAAAGAAATGACAAACGAGAGTCATCAAGCTCCAGAAACGAAAGAAGGAGAAAGGCTATGGTAGTGAACGAAACTCCTGACACTGTTGAGGCCGAAAGCAGTTCCTCGAGCTCAAGTTCGGATGACGAAAGTAATGAAGAGGAAAAAGGACTGCTATGCCTGTTCAGCCAAGAATCAGAAGAACTATGCCTTATGGCCGATGATGATGAGGTAGACTCTCAATCTTCCTCCTATTATTCAGCTGAGTCTAGCTCTATAAGGAGTCAAACTTCCAATGAATTAGTTACCGAAATGATGAGGGAGTTCAAGATAATTAAAAACACATACTCTAAGTTAAAGGAGGAGAACTCTCGGCTTATGATTAGCTACAATGCGCTAAGGCAAGTTCGAATTGAGAATATAAAGCTAGCCATTGCTAAGAGGCAACTTGAAGAAAATGTTCTCGCTCTAAAAGAGCAGTGTACAGAAAGAGAAAAGAGGGAGCAACAATTACGTGAAGTCTTAGATAAGTTCAACAATTCGTCCAACTTAATGGACCGAATGGTGAACGAATCTAGACTGCCCGGGGAAAGAATGGGTATTGGTTTTGACCCCAGCTCCTCTTCACAAATCGGCTTGAACAAATCCACCAATGCTTACTCTCACGAGAGTTTTCAATCAGCATTTGTTCAAGGCCCTACCCAGGTGTCTGAGCCTATGACGAAAGTTAACAGTGTTGTCATACCACAATCAACAAGCCAACCGAAAGGAAAGGCTGTACAACGAATTGTGAAACCTGGAAATGAAAGATCCTTTAAAGGCAATCCTAGGCAAAAATATGTCAAAAGGAATGGACCAAATGGCAATAGACGAGATCTAAACCATAAGAGAGGTCAGCCTTACAGGAATATTCAATCCGGGAAAAGGGCGAATGTTAACCAGAGGCATTATCGTCCGAAACCAACACGAAAGAATCCTGTCCAAGGAATCCCGAAAAATGGACGAATCAGACAAAATGAAAGATCTTTCAAAAGATCTGGTTATGGCAATGGATGGACTGGGCCATCAGAGGAAGATTGGGTTGATTACCCAGAACCTCTATCTAGAGCCGAATTTGAGAAAGTTCATTTGCGTAAACAAACTAATTATTCCAAGCATTATAAAAATCCTCCTCAAGAATACTTTCACGAGAGATATAATGCTAGAACCTTTGCCAAAATCCATTATGATTACCACACATCTAATAGATATAAAGGACCAAGGATGAGTCGCGGAAACTCTAGGTTCATGTGGATTCCTAAGTTGACATCTAACCCTCAAGGACCCGAAGCTCAAGGGGTACCTAAAAATATATAATCTTTGTTGCATGATAAACAAGTCATATGGTATGTCGATAGTGGATGCTCAAGACATATGAGTGGTGACAAAACAATGTTGAGCAATTTCAAGGAAGTAGATGGACCTAAAGTCATATTTGGAGGAGAAAATAGTGGCAAAACTCGTGGAAAAGGAGATATCATCAAGAAGGGAATAACTATCCAAAATGTATCATACGTTGAAGGACTAAAGTTCAATCTCCTAAGCACGAGTCAATTCTGCGACAAAGGCTACAAAATCGAATTCTCCAAGGACGAATGTAAAATAGTGAACACGAAAGATGGCAAGATCGCGTTAACTGACCAACGAAAGAAAAACATGTACATAATCTCTTGGAACTCTTCTAATGCTAATATTTGTTTTGTGGCCAAAAGTAATGCAGATCTTAGTCAAGAATGACACAACAAACTGAGTCATCTAAATCTGAAAATGATCAACAAACTAACCAAGAAAAATCTAGTGAGAGGACTACCCGAAGCATCCTTCATAAAGGACAAAATATGTGAGGCATGTCAAAAGGGAAAACAAATCAAGTCATCTTTCAAAACCAAGGATGTGGATGCAAACTCTCATTCCTTAAGTCTTTTACACATGGATCTCTTCGGACCAGTTGTGTAACACCCCCCAAACAAGGCCCAAATAAAGCCCTAACACATGCAGATTAAACAACAAAACTAGCACAGCGGAAGATAAAACAGAAACTGGATAAAAGAAATCAAACGAGGTGTTATGCCACATCTACCAAAACCCGGTAAACGCTAAGGCGAACAATCTGCAGTGTATACACTATCCCAAAACATCAGTCTAACTATATGGGCGCACAAACCACAAAAAAAAAAAAAAAACAACAAGGATAAAGGTGCTAAGCTACCAGACTCTAGACATCGCGCTCGTCTAAACACCACCTGAAAGATACAAAGATAAACATGGGACGACGCCCTGTCAGCGATAATGCTGGTAACCCACCAATACCGTTAAGTATCATATATAGGTAGATATAAGATATAAAACCATTTTCGAAATGGAATACATAAGTATATAAGTTAAAAGCCAAGATCAATAGACACACAAGACTCATCACTCTCAAGGATAACACCGGGAACACATCCCAAACCGCAAAGGTTAACCACAACACAAAGCACTAGTACAAAAAATATCAATAAAATTGAATAATTCGCGTCCAAAGTTTAAACTTTGGACGCCTAAAATCGGGACGGCGGCATTTTTGTAATTAAAATGACGCTATTTAATTACTTTTTTATTTTTATTTTAAATTAAGGACAATCAGCGTCCAAAGTTCAAGACTTTGGACGCGTGTGTCCTTCTAAAGAAAGAATTGGCGTCCAAAATTATAACAACATTGGACGCTCAGATTGTTAGGGTTTTTCGAATAAAACCAACCCAGCCCATCGGCAGCCTCTGCGTACATTCTCTATAGCAGCAGCTGCTCTCCATCGTCTTCTCTTCTCCGTTCGTCGGTGGTCCGTCACCTTTCCCCTCCAGCCGTCGCCAACAAGAAAGCTTCTGCTGCCCTCCATCGTCTTCCCCTCCGCGACGTTCGCACAGACGCCTCCTCGCATAGTCGTCGCCGCCTCTGCCCCTCGCTGTTCTTCGCTGCGGTCGCTGCTCGCCGCCGGTCTCTAGTCGCCGCAAGGTATGTATTAGAGGAACAATGTAAACATATTCAGATTTAAATGCACTGGTGCTTCGGATTTCATAGGGACACCGCCAGCCTTGTTAGAGGATGTAGATGATGACGATGGTGAGGGTGGCGGAAACGGACGGTTTCCGTCCGGCGGACACCGCTGCCCAAGCCATCGCTTGCCGCTCCGCCACACACAGACGCGCTGCCAGCCTCCCAGCCGTCCGCTGCACTGCCGCACCGCCGTCCGCTGCTCCCCCGACCGCCGTCCACCTCTTCGCCGCAGTTGAAGGTAATTTTTTTAATTATTATTAATTAATTTTTTGTTATGCAGCATTAAAAATTGGAGTAAATTGGTTTCCATACTAACTTGAATATGCTCTTAGCTTTGTTTGCCTTTCGGTGTTCACATTTTTTCCCCAAATTCCATACTAACTTGAATGCTAAGGGAGTAATTTGACTCATGTATTCATTAATAATGCTGCATTTGGAACATCGAAATTGTTTAGGAAAAGATGGAAATCAATTCTTTGTATCTGTTAGTTGGGTAAAATCAAGTGTCTTAATCTGATGACTTGTATATCCTGTTTAAATGCTGATACATTGAAAATTAAAAGCATCGGTGCACCATTTTGCCAGATACTACTCCTCCCAAGAAGCAGATAAAAGACATGTCCCAGGATTTTTATTCTGCTGGTTTTGTTCCAGGTGCAATCGTATATTTCTCCTATGATGTACCAAAAGGTCAGTAAAAGTTCAATTAATCAACACTTTGAACTGTGTTTTCAATGGAAATTTATCTAAGTTTTGTGAATTTTAGCTATAATTTTAAGTGACTGATAATAGTGAATGTAAAGTATACTATTGTGTAGGAAGGGTTGGAAACATATACTTAGACTGCACACTTGGTGATAAGCTGAATGTATAATAGAATTTGTAATCTGGGTTTAACAGCATTGGCTTGAGCTGGCCCCCCTTTTTGAACCAATTGTCATCTTTCATAGTCCACATTCAGCACCCCCTAACTTTGCACTGTCAAGATCTAAGTCCTTGCTTTTCAAGAGGCCTCACATTTGGATTTTCACTGTCTAGATCTTTAAGTGTGTATCACACATTCATACTTCTCTTCTGTGTATTTGTTTGACTGTATGAATGCCAAAAGTTTGTATTTCGATTTGATAAGCTTAGGACATGACAGGGTGTTTATGTTGCTTTCTGAATGGCATTGACTTTGCAATTGCATGACATAGTTACTCAGTTATACAAGTGTGTGCTGGAATACACATCCAATTATGGTTTGTGAAATTTTGGATTTGTTTCTCTTTTAATGTAATTTTATTGAATTTGCCATATTTGAAACTTGTGAATTTGAGAATTGACGTGAATTATTCTGATTGTCATCATCATCAAAACAGGTTGTTAAATTAGTGCATTGTGTTGTTCTGTAGACTAACCATCTCATCTTTTTACTGCTTATTTAGTTGAGTTTGTTGTATGAATATGAGATGCATTCTTAGGGATCTTTGCAATGTAGAAGTACATTATCTTGTCTTAGTATATCACATGTGTGCTAGATGACATTTCATTGTCTTGTAGGCGAATGACCTCATTATCTTTTTTACCAGTTAGTTTGTTATATAAGTAGTGAAAGCCATTTGAGGGACCTGTAGAACTTGAAAGTAGACTACCTTGTTGAAGTATATTGCAAGTGTGCTAGATGACATTATTCATCAACTCCACAGTCTTCATTAACTACTAAACTGCAAATCTGCAATTGTTAGAAGTAAACATGTTGTGTTGAAAATCTGAAATGTTCCTCATTACTTTGAGTATCTCATTGGTTTGTGCAAAAAGACTGGTCCTTATTTGAAATAATGTAGAAAAAAATTACGGAATATCAATTAGGTGCATTGATTTCTATAGTAGAAATCAGCTCTCAATTGGGATAACAATTGAAATTAGGAGCAGGACATAAACCTGGCATTTGTTTCTGTGTATATATTCAAAGTAGTATGTAAAACCCTTAAGGTCTTTTAGTAGTTTTTTTCCCAGTTTTATTCAATAAATCGTGGAAAAGGAAAGCATGTTTGTCTCTGTGTGATGGATATCTCAAATTTCTAGGGGATATTAACCATATAACCATATAGGCTACATGAATTGCTTTAATATGTGTTCTTTTGTCATCAGTCATTCTGTGCATTCTTCCAAGTCCATCTGATTGGATTTCAGTCTTGTTCTTTCAACTAGAACTACCTTCTCTAGTTTCTTGTTTTGCTTGAATTTGCAGGTAGAGAGATATCTGTTGTTCAGTCGCTTTTAGCAGAACTGCCTTCTCAATTTTTGGGATATTGGCATGCTCATCCAACTGGTAGTTAATGTTTCAACATTAAATTGATTAATGTTGAAATATATTATCTGGTAGTTATGCTGGAATGTACAGGAAAATATTGGTAGTTTTATAAAAAAAAATAATTTTTTATAATTTTTCTTTTACTATACACGAACTTTGGACGCGAATTATAATTATTTAAATCAAAACGTTACCTTTGCGCGTCCAAAGTTCATGAACTTTGGACGCGCAAAGGTAATATTTTATTTTAAAAAATGATAATTCGCGTCCAAAGTTCACGAACTTTGGACGCGAATTATCATTTTTCGCGTCCAAAGTTCTTCAACTTTGGACGCGAATAATCATTTTGCGCGTCCAAAGCTACTTTGGACGCTGATTGTTTATATAATCAGCGTCCCCGCCATCTGCGTCCCAGCTACTTTGGACGCGAATTAGCCTTAACTTTGGACGCGAATGACTGTTTTTGTACTAGTGAAGGAATAAGACTCACCCATGGCAACACATGCCCTTGTGACTACACACGTCACAAGAAAGAGAACTCACCACAATGGCTACACAAGCCCTCGTGACATCACCCATCACGAGTTGATATGCCTTCCTTATGCCCTGTTCCAACCTTATGGCTACCCCTAACCTTATTTCTTCTTCCACCATTACCTCCAGGACCCCTGTACAGCCAAGTCCAACCTTATTCCGCCGGGACCGTCGTCCCCCACTAACAACCCGCCTATAAGACCACCAATTTCATAGTACACGAGGTACCGTACACACACATGGCACACATGCCCGGATAACACATGTTATCCCCCAATCACGTGAACCTCACACAAAGGCCACAGCTCTATAATCACGTCACGGCCACCACGAGGACCGCTGTAATACCTTGGTGACTAGCGTCCCATACCACTAATCGTGCAATCCAGGTAAAGCCACACACGCACCACAACTCACACGAGCTAAGCAACAGATTACAACGAAGGTATGAAACATACTCAATCAAGTAATGGGTCACAACCCAACGACAACAACGATGTATAACACAAGTTAACATCAACCACATGGAAGGTACGAACAACACGCACGCTAGCATTAAGACAACAAACTAGCATGCTTAACAACGGGGAAACTCAAGATAGTTCCGAGGAACACACAAGACACTTCTTGGTTCAACGAAGCACAATGTTGAACACTTAGCACGATTCAAGACACCAAAGATCCTACATGGATACCTACCATATAGTTCTAGACCCACGAAACATCAAGAAGACGCTCAAATAGTTTCACCAAAGAACAACGGGAAGTCAAAAGATCAAATACCGAGACAAACGAATCACGGGGAACAAATCCCAACATCACCACAACCATGTACCTGCGGGTGGACCCACGGGTAGTGCCCCACCCGTGGTTCCGCCCGCGGGAACAATATCCCACGAGGCTGTGTACCCGCGGGTAGGCCGGCGGGTGGTGCCCCGCCCGCCGTTCCGCCCGCGGGAGCACTCCTGTTCCACAACTAATCCCTTCGGGGATTTTCTTCTCCAAACACAAATTCAAGTCCAAAACATGCCAAATCTCACCCAATACAATAAAATGACTTGAACCATGGAAAATGCCAAGCAATGACACAAAGGAACCCTAAACACAAGCTCTAGATATGCAATATCACAAGATAAATGCATAAACCCTCACATTTCATAGCAAAGAGCAAGTAGAATCCAAGAAATCACATATAGGTAAGCAAAATAGGTTTTGTAGAGCATGGGTTACCTCTTGTAGACCAAAAGACTTCACTTAACACCACCACAAGCTCCTCACAAGGCTTACTTCTCAAACCCACTTCAAGATCAAACCAAAAGATCATAAAGATCCTACCTTTAAGAAAAAGACAACTAAGATGGAACCAAAAAGACTAGATAAACTTAGATCTTACCCTCCTAGATGCCCAAATAGGTGAAAGGTTGAATCTTGGAAGCAAAACTTGGAATCTTGACAAGGGTCTCAACTTGGCTTGAAGAATAAGCTACACTTCTTTTCTAGAGAGAAGGTGGAGATATTTTCTAAGAATTGTAAGGAATGAAATGAAGAAGTCTTCTAGGTTTAGGTTTCAATACTAACTCTTGGTGAAAAGACAAGAATACCCTTACTAAGCTTTAGAAAGTGTAAGGAACAAGGGAACTCCTCTCAAAGCACAAGGTACAACACAACTTAAAGGTTGACTAGTCAAATACTAGTCCTTGAGTATTAAAAATCAGGATTTTAGGAATCAATTCCTCAAAAGAAATAGAATTAATTACTCAATTAATTTATGGATTGAAATGTGGATTTTTGGGGTGTCACATCCTCTTCCCCTTCAAAGAAGCTTCGTCCCCGAAGCTTGGGTACAACGAATTAGAAACAAACGGTGGAAGAAAACAACATTGTGACAAGAAGTTCAAGAATAACTCTTTTGGTCAAAAACTCCAAAAGATTCAACAAGGATTCCAAAGCAATGAAGAAGACATTTTGAATGCAAGGATTGATCAAGAGTTTAACAAACTAATAGATTGAGCATCAAAACTCTAACCTCAACACAACCACCAACTTCTAGACAACAAACAAGAACCAAACAACTTACTCCAAAACACCAACTTGCTAAGCTAGCTAAACAACAAGACAACAAGCAAAACAAACAAGCACGCAAAGCAAACAACAACCTAACACCAAGCTAACAACGGCTAAGAAGAAAACAACAAAGAAAAAGGCGAACGGGATAGCCACAGCACAAACTAGAACTCTTCACTCTCCGACTCCTCGGCACCTTCAGACTCTTCGTCTTCGTCTTCGTCTCTACGGCTAAAACTGGCTTCAAACTGATCCAACCTCTGATGCACTGCGACAAACTGCGCCTCCATAAACGCGAAACCCTCGGCGATCATGCTGTTCTGCTGACGAAGCAAGGTGACAACGCGCTCCTCATGCGCCCTGGCATCATGCCCTCTCTTCGTGCGAGCTTCACTCCTTCTCCGGTTTTCCTCACTGTCTAAATCACTTTCTTCAGCTTCGGCGGCCTCCGGTGCTTCTACTTCCTCTTCAACTTCTTCGTCACCGCCCAAAGTCTGGACTGCGAGGCTCAACTTCCCGACAGGGATTCCAAGCTCGGCAGCTAACTCTGCCCGTTCCTCAGGTGCTTTCCTTGCAACTTCCTCAAGCGTGATGTATTCACCATCATCCAACTGGAACAGATTACAACTTCGGAGATTGGCGGCATCCAACACCATCTTTTCCATGGCCTTCGGGAGACAACCATCCACACTAACACCTTTCCTAACCAAAATCCAGCTCAGCACCATCTCATAAGGCAAGCTCTTCCGATTGTGATCCCGGCAAAACACCATGTGTTGCAACATCAAAGCAGGCAGGTTGAACTTAACCATGTTCTTGAGACAGAAAGCAAAGGTGCACTCCAACTTACCCAACAAACTGCTCTTGTTGTTATTAGGCAACAAACAATCCGATACCAACATCACCAAGATCTTTTGCTCCGCAGACAACCACTTCTTTTCCGGCCTAGAGGCTTGAGTGAAACCACTCGTACGGCCTAGCAAGAAGCTCAAATAGTCATGGTATCCCATGGTATCCGTACTAATCCAAGAATGGCCACTGTACTGCGCTACTCCGGTAGCAGACAAACTCAACAACTGAGCCAACCTCTTTTCAGAAAGCACAACTTTCATGTAACATCCCCAAATTTAATTCTCAACACATGCTATAAATAGACTACTATAACAGAAATTGCCATGAATAGAATTCCTGAAGTACGCATACCACCATTTAGAAACTAATTAATAATTCAACTTACAAAATAACTTTAAGTCCTTAATAATAAATGAGGGTGAAATCGCCACATCTAATCTAACACTGACTAGATGTAAGGCTCTAAACCATAACATTCAATCACAACTTAATCCAAAAACTAAAGAAATACAATATGAATCAATAACTCCAAAACATCATAAATAAAACAGCTACTACGTTCTAAGGCGCGCTCTCAGCCAACAACTTATTCATTCACATGCACAAATCACAAACAGGAGAAACACGAAACAATAAAATTAGCAAAACATTACTAAGTAAGGTTTACTCCACCCTGTAAAATGGATTTAATACAGTATATTTTCACATTCAAAAATAATTAGCCACAAGGCTTAACTTCTCTCAACTTCAACATAACATTTACTCCACATCACAATCCACATATAATTTTCTCAACCTAAGATTTCAAATCAACTCTTTTCCAAATTACACGTTTCCAAAAGAAATCATTTTTAGGAAGTATAGATGAATATCAAACCAAATAATGGGCAGGGTCTTAATTACTTAAGCCCTAGTGAACAGTGATCACTCCACTGAACACTACGCAAAAATCCCATTTAAACCAACCAAATAATGGGCAGGGTCTTATTTGATAAGCCCTAGTGAACAGTACTCACTCTACTGAACACTACACAAAAATCCCATTTAAGTGGAACAGAACTAATACCTTAAGTGTGCACACCCCCAATGGGTTTCCAAGCCCAACGGGTAGTAACTAGTCCTAGTAGCCAGGATACGTTTCTACTGACTACTACTCAACAGGGTAAATACCCTAGTGGTAGACTCCGCTAACCACTCCTCAAAACAACAGGATTAAAAGTCCTAGTAAGACAGGATATGTTTCTACTGCTCACTCCTCAATTAACAGAGAGTTTTTAGGCTCCCTAGTGAATCAGTATTTTTCAACTGTTCACTCCTCAACAAATTGGGTAAATCCAGAATCATAGTTGGATACTATATGAGTCAAAAAAAAACCTTTTTATTCACCACATTTATAAAAAACAAGAGTAATGATATTTCACAAGCAAGCAACTTCTCAATATCTCAAATAAGAAACTGTCAAAAATTTTCAGAAACTATGACCTGAATTGCAGAATTTACTGAGAAAAATCGGTAACACATTTTCATATGAAATTTTCCAGATAAGTAGTATAAAGAGTCTA